ATGATATCAAGTTTATGCAAAATTAACGTCACACCATCCATATGAAACTTCAGCTGACCATCCTACAGATGCAGTACCAAGATTCCTCACTAGATGGAACCATTGTTCCCTGCATCCTACAAATACTGGCTTTCCTGATATAGTATCAGGTTTTCTTATCATCTTTCTACTCTTTATTATGCAATCCATGAACATATATATGTGGAAAACATGAAATTATAATATTTTTTTAATAATAGACGACTTAGGGAGTCGTTAAATGCTGAAGTCCCGAAGTTGAGCCACTGGAAGGCCTCAGGAATACTATTTACCGAATACCCTGATGAAGGTTTGCAAAGTTGGCGTGAGATAGCGCTTAAGTTCTCGTGACAACTTGTCACTCGCAGATTCCACTGAAGTGAATCCCCTTCGCGTCAAACACAGTTCCCGATGGCTTCCTGTATGAAACTCAGAGGTCGACGTTTGAATTCCTTGATAAATTTCTCCGAAATCGAAACCCAGCCTGTGGATGCACCAGGAAATTCCAACCCGGACGTCGGTCGGAAGACAGTCCCGCTATAGATTTCGCGCATCGATCTGCGTCCTATTCGCGATTCTTCGGAGTCTTCAGGATTCTCCAATTGAACATTGTTAGGTTTTTGGATTCCTTTCCAAGAATCTTCCCATTTACGAGTCTTGTTCTAAGGAAAGTTCATTTGGTTCGATACATATTCCTGAAGCCGTCCGTTTGTTTCTCTCTCTTCTTAACTTCACGGGTCAGATATCGCGGTGGACTCAAATTTTCACCTAGAAAGCTGAATTATTCACCATCTCATAATCGGTTCCACAGTTTCTCTTCCACATTTTTCTCCGTGATCGCACGAGAACGTTCAGGGAGTAAATGCAGAAATAGCAGGAGGAATGCAGGTTCTTCTAATCGTCTGGTCCCAATTGGATAAGGTAAGGAGAAAGTTCGGGCTCGAAGGTAGGAAGCATTATTCCATTTTCAGTGTGATTTAAAGGGAATTTGAGAGACTCATTCCTGCATAACTGAAGATCATGGAACTTCGTGGAACTCTGATACATACTCAACTCATTTCGTTTGTATATTACTGACACCTTTCGTGTATCTCTTCCTCCTCCTAACTGCTCTGTGATTTGCACCAGCAATGTCCTATCATTTTGTGAACGGTTTCACCGCTCAGTTTTTGCGATCTCGACCTGATCAGCACTAATCCTCAAGGATTAAATCGATTTCACGGGTCGCAATTTACGGTGAACCTAACTCTGCTTCTGTTTCCGTTTCCATCAAGAAAGCTCAATTACTCATCGCGGGAGGATCCCATGATCGGCTCGGCAGTTCCTCTTCCGTTTCGAGATGAATCCCGAGAACGTCCTGGGAGAAAATCGTGGAAGGAATGCAGGCAATCCTCATCATATACAGTGAGAACTCGTTAACTCGAATCCTGGTAAGTGGAAATTCCGCTTATATCGAAGTTCAATGATTGGTTCCGGCGGAATCCTGTAGGACACCACGTTAAATGCTCCGTTTAACTGGAATTCGTTTATCTCCAATGACATTTTCTCTCCTGATGACGATTTTTCTCGCGGTTAACTCGAATTCAGGGTATGAAGGGGGGTTGAAGAAAAACTTATCGTGGGGCTTTTCGACTTTTTGATTGAGATAAATGACAAGAAACCCGTTCAATGAGGATGTTCTTTTGTTCCTATTGTTTTTTTTTTCTGCTTCTCCCTCCTCCCACACAGACGCCTGTGGAGAGGATTAAGCCTGAGGATTAAAACCGGAAAACTTCGGCTCTAAAAAGAAGCAATTTCCAACATTCCCTGTCTGTCGCTCTCACTTTGAGCCATTCTAGTCATATTCTATTTCTTATACGCTGTTGGTGTGGACTGAGCTCACTCAAGATGAAACTGAAAACTCTGACGCTCGAAGAGAAGGTGCACTTGATTCGGACTGTCGAAGAAGACTCGATGCTCTACCGCCATCTTTGAGCGATGCCAATGAAGCACTGTCAATTGTGAGAAAGTTCCTCCTCTCGCGAGGAAAAGTGCCAGGCGACTTGTTCGAGGGGATAGGCATATTGGAGCACTTCCACTTCTCTGTTGCTAGTTCCTTGAGAAAGCAACTGAAGATCACTGATTACCAGTGGCGGCTCGTGGGTAAAAAAATTGGGTAGGTAGCAGTGGTGCAAAAAAAAAAAAGAGGGGGGGGGGGGGGGGGGNNATAAAAAAAAAAAAAAAAAAAAAAAAGGGGGGGGGGGGGGGTGTGCGGTCACCCCCAATGATTCCTTTGCACCCATATGATCCCCATTTCTATCCATATTGACCAACGGAGCGTCCTCTTATGATAATAGCAGGCACATTCGCTCCTCTCTCAGCCTCGCTCAGTATCCCCTCCCCCATCCACCACTCTCCAGTCTCTTCTGAGGGACACATCCCCCCCCCCCCCAACCCCTCTACTACAGGCTTGACATAAGTTTAGGATTTTTGCATTCAAAAATTGTAGATCCAATTCTAACATATTCAGAACTATCCATCAAGGAAATTACTTGCATCTAAAGGGAAACGTGACGAAGACATAAACCTTCAATGAATGCAACTATATCGTTGGATGACACCCCAGAGATGCGAAGCACTGTCAGTCTAACAATACATGTCACTTGGAAACAGTCTCTCTCTTCCGGAGAGAGCAACGAATGTGGGGTAGGAATAGGGAACTGAGATTGACAGAAGCTTGTTCGGAATGATTCCTTATTCAGTCTGCATGATATGTAGAATAGGTCTGATCAGGTCTGACAGCCACAGAGGCTTCTACAAGCACGTGCTTCTGAGCAGAGGGCGTGAGCAAGCGATTCTCAACCTTCCTTCCTGCGCAAGGAGTAACTGCGCACCGTAGGCAAGCCTATCCCCACTCATTCCAGTGTTGTGGTTCTCTTCCTTTTCTCCCTCTTCTCCTTCCTGCATCGGACTCGTGGGAATTCCAAGCTTAGCCAGCGTAGGCAGGCAGCGCCGTGCCTACTCTGGACGCATAATCTCGTTTTGCTTTTACCTCGCAGTGGAAAAAAAGTATTTTCAGCTGTGCTAATCGAAGAATTAATTAGGAAATATTCCTTTGAGAAGTCTGATTTTAAATCGGGTAGGCACTGCCTACCCTGACGAGCCGCCACTGGAATAGACAGGATTTGATTGGGATCCCCAAAACTCACAACGACTCGCTTGAAGCCTCGTGCATTTAGGTTTTGCACGACTCAAGACTCACGTCCTTTTCACCGAGACGGCGCAGTCCGTCATACGATGAAAGAAGATTTTTTGTCTTCAGTGCAAGTTCATCTACCTCGGAATGCAGAACCTCTTCCCGACTATGGGAGGAAATTTACGGACCAAGATGTGAATAGCTTGTCTACAAGAGGTCTCATCCTAGCGAATAACTCGTATCCAAGTGTTCACGTTCGCATTCGTATCCACCGTCACTTCATGACCAAGTGCCCAAGGAATTCACTGTAACAGGTGATTTTTCACATCTTACAACATTCCATCTCGACATTATTCTGCATAGCCTCAGCCCTTTTACAACTCAGTCGTTCTCGATGGAATAGCGACAAATTGGTAACAAATAACTTTTTTTTTTACTCCACGTGAACAAATTCATGGACAACTTCAGCACTCCAGACGAAGCATAGTCACTTCCAGGTCGGACAAAATGTTCATTCAGACATTCCCGAACACATTCCAGACGTTCCGTAATGCTTGAAATGCTTGAGGCAACACACAACAGCTAATGACTTAACGGTCAGAAACAGCTGCTTCCACCATCGCTTCGACCGTGTTGCGGACGTGGGTCTTGATTGCCTCCGCGGGGTCCGCTCGATACGGGGGGAAGCTCAGCACCGCTTGAAATTGCGCAAAATCCTCCAACCTGGCGGGAAATTCCACGAAAATCCACTCAGAATGGTCAAAATTCTATAATAAAAAAGCCTGATGGCGCGATAGATAACATGACTCACATCTGTTTCTGGTTGGAACGCAGGCTCTGGCGCTTCTTCTGGGGCTTGGCAGGGGGATCCTGGCTAGGTTCGGTGGGAGGGGGCAGGGCGCACTTCAGGACCTCCATGTCGCCGACCACGGGGGTCATCCGTCGTCGGAGGGCATCTCGTTTCGTCTTCTCGGCGTCTTTTATGGCGGTGATTCCTGCGGAAAGATGGGAATGAGGGCTCTGCACCGGCGGTTTCTATGCTTCAGTGAGGTGTTGACGGGTCGATGAGTTTGCGTACTCGCTTTCAAGAGTGTCTTTTTGAACTTCAGCTTTGTTTTCTTCTTCACTGCCCCGCTTTTCACCAGGGACAAGAGTTCCATCGCTTTCGCGTCCGACTTTCCTCGCTGGGACTCGTCCCATCGAAGCGGGGCTTTCGAGGCGATCTTCCGCTTCGCCGGCTTGCCCACGCCTCCCACGGCGACTTTGCTCTTCGGTGCCCGAGCGACTTTGGCCCTCGATGCTCCCTTCCGAGCCTTCATTTCTCCGAGAAACGAAGCAGGTGGAACCAAACTCAAGTCCTGTAGGGATGAGGATGATTTACTCAAAGCCGATCTTATTGCAAGTTTTTAACATTACACTCGAGGAAAATGTGGGAAACTGGGAATGTGGCAGGTGGGAACTGCCAGGCAGCAGAAGCTGCCTCCCTTAAAGTGGCAAGTTAACGGGTTCAATAATGGAAATGCGGATCCAAATTCCTTAAAAACTTGGTACATTGACTACTTAAAAGGTCGCACTGAACCACAAGAACGCTTCCTCGATTGAGTAAAATGTGTGCTTCTCGATCTGGATGGAACAGGGAAACAAGACGTGTCCGGGCAAACATCAGAAAAAAGGGACAGTCAACAACCTCTCCGGGATCACTGGGGAAGCAGCGTCGCCAAGCTACTCCAAGCATCGTTCCCCAACAGCCATAACAGCGTTGTCAAGCAGTCCCACCCAAGGATAAGATCAACTCACGATGCCAACTCACACCCCAAATACCTACAGCCTCGTGTACATCAAGGGCCTGAAGGAGAAGATCTCCGACGACGAACTGAACCGACGGCTCCACCGTCTTCTAAACGGTAACGCGGGCTGCATCGTTCCGCGCTCCCTCGAGAAGGGATGCACGTTCGGCTACGGCTACCTCGCATTCGAGGGAAGGGGAAGCGCGGAGGAGGCCGTGGGTCGACTGGCTCCGATGGGATACCACATCCGCATGGTGGATGGGCCGGAGCTGGACGACTTCAAGATCAGGATCTCCGATCTCCCCGGCTCGTGGACCAGAGCGAATGTGGAGGCCCTAGTCAAGCCTCTCGCGCCCATCGTGTGGTGCCAACTGGTCAGGAGGGCCTGGGAAGGAGACAAGCTCGAGGCTTTCGTCGAGTTAGTTCCTTAATTCTTCCCCTTTCATGCAAGTCACTCTCGGTATCGAGCGTTGTTTTCCATTGCTTTACCATCAGAGTTGGCCAGAACTGCAACGTACGAACGCTGATTCGATTGCTGTCTGGTCGCATGGTGCAAGGGTCTCCTTTGCCCATCAAAGCCACTCTGGCACCGAAATATGGGGTGAGTAAACGGGACCTGTGGGTCGACGTGGCCATGAGGCAACTCTCCCGTGTCACTGGAGTGGATGGAGATGTCACCGTCGAGCACCAGTACGTCATCAGACCGTTTTTGGCCAAATTTGTCCTGAACCTCGTCACGAAAGACAAAGAGAAGCAGAAATGATCGCTAACAGTGCATCTCGCTATGTACAGTTACCACATGGATTCAATTGAATGGTTCTCTCTCATAAAACATTTAACTTCTCCCAATTCCCTCCATCATTTAATCTATAAATAAAAACCTTCTCCCCGTGCAGCAGTCCTTCTTATTCTCAGAGACAGCAGAGTCAAGAGGAAATCAGCTTTGGCACAACTGCTCTAAACATCGTATGTTTTCACAGACAAACCCGTCTCTGAATCCTCCTCTCTGCAACAAAATGATTTCGCTTTTTATCAATGTATTCTTGGAAAACCCTCCCAATTCGTGTCCATTAGTCAGAAACATTTAATCACAGACACTCTATTGTCTGTTCAGCGAAACCTGAGAGTGTCGGATCTCTACCCTTAGGCGACTCACAACAAGTGATGAGGGGAAACGAGTTGCTGTGGCGACGTTAATCTGTTAAGGTTGTGGGGGGACAGGAGATCACCTATAGCAAAGGTGTCAAACTGGGGTCCGCGGGCCGGATCCGACCCGTTAGTTCATTTCATCCGGTCCACGAATCCAACTTCACTAGTTGGTTTTGGAAAAGTGTTGAGTTCGCGTAAAATTTTTGGTGTAAGATTTGTTAGTGCGGCCCCCAACCACCCTCAAAGAGTTCCATCCGGTCCACAGCTTAATCGAGTTAGACTCCCCTGACCCATAGTCTTGATAAAATCAGCAATCGTCACACAGAAATACTTTCATCATTTTCTACACCTCAGGCAGCATGCCTCAACTGAGACATCTCTGCCCCTGGAAATCTGTATTTCCCCTTCTCGTTCCATCACTCATCCTTCAAAGTGACATACCGAGCGATCCCTTTGCTTATCAAAATCACTCCCAGGTTGGAGAGAACAGACTATATCATTTTTCAAAAGCGGCATTGTGTCAAAAAATTGATGGAAATGCTTACTTGATAAGTGCATCCTGGGTCAAGAGAGATTCCCAGAACTCGATCACGTCAGAATTAACGAGGTCCCGAGCCAGTCTTGGGTACATATCAATCACATAATGCCTGTCGTCTGCTTCTGTGTAAGGGAACCAGTGGGGCTCATTCTCAAGTGGATTCTGAGTTGGAGAACTGTAAGCACGGAACACACACCATAAAGTATTCAAGTATTTATCAAGCATCAGTTGATCGTTCTTGAAGGTACCAAAGATGATTGAATTCACTTACCCGTTGTAAGTGAAATTCATCCAAAGATCTAGGAAGCGGTTCCTGACCACCGCATCGTTAGATCCATCCTGTATTGGAGGGAAAAGCTGAATGTCGAAAAGGAAGGGTATCTCGTCAAAGTGACAAACTCCTGGAGGGGAAGAGAGCATGAGTGAATGCAAGCAAATCATGCCATCGAAGAACGAAGCTGTCTTCAGTCAATTATGTCAGATTTCTGGGATGTAACATACCATGTGGTTTTAGCATCCCATCAGCCAAATCTTCAGCCAATATTCATTCCACTTCTGATCGATTTCAGTGAACAATTCCTTCTTCCGAAGAGCAGCTGGAAAGCAAATATGAGCGCAACTTAAAAAGTTTGGAAGAGAGAATGTCATAAAAATGTGGAGTTGAAGCAGCATACGATAGACAAGAAAGAGGCCCTCTTCCCTGTTAACCCCAGTCATCCAAGGAATGGCTGTATAGTCTCCACTTTGCAAAATATCCAGAGGATTGGCAAGCAAGAAGGGGGCTCCAGCCTCTACATCTACTCGTGGTGCAAACGTCAAGGATGAACTACCCAATTCCTATCGAAAAAACAAAGCAGCTATAAATAAATTAGCCATCTTTGCATCATGTTAAAGGAAAAAAAAAACAAACAAGGAAACCCAGGAACTTCGTGTCACAAAAAAAGAAATTCAGGAAGTTTGTTCGAATTACTGTACTCAAGAAAATTAGCACAAAAATAAGAAAATATTGACTTCCTGTGAGGGTTCAAACCTCCTAAGACTTGTTATATTTAGAAGCTTCTTCATGGGAGCCTAGTAATGTACCATTACTATGTGCATTACTAGGCTATAACAGTCACTTCCAAAAAAAAAAGAGCTATGACAAAAAAAGACCAACAACTTTTAACCAAAACATCCCCGCTTTCAATGGCACCTTTTTCACGAAACTTTCACTATGTATATATGAGTATGTTTCCAACTTATTCTCAAATTTTCATCCAAATTCGTCGGGCCGAAGCAATACCATCAACAATAATACAAAAGAAAATAGACATTGAGAATAGATTAGGGCTCCTGCTGGTAGTGGAGTGAAGGAAACACTCAAGCACTGTCCCTCCTGGCATGGGCGTCCGCTGGTTTATTCCCAGGGGGAGGGGGGGGGGGGGGGGGGGGGGGAAGGGTGAGAAAAAAACCGGGTGAAACTCACACCTGTATAAACGAGATCCTGTTTTCTTCGCAAACCCCGGGGAGATGGAGTTTCAGATTTACTGCGGTGATTCTTTGTTCGGAGGGAGAGAAGCCACGCCGAATTCCTTTCCTCAAAATGCTCTCAGAGAAGAATACTGCAATACACTACACGAAAATAACAGGAAGGGGTTGGAGAAAGGAGAAAAAGGACATAAACTTTGAACAAATCGAGAGATGAAAAAGCATACGCAGGAAAGGCTGGGAGTTTTTCCCCTCACAACAGAAAAAAAACCCCGCAGCTGATGCTTGCTAATGGGAAAAAAATAGTTGGTGTCTCACTCCCGCACTGCTGTAATTCACGGAACGGAATGGAATTGGAGCTGAAATTTCATATTAACCTTCTAACGGAGACACCCGTCATATGACGTTTTCACGGTTCTACTAGGTAGGTTCTAAAAGTTTCGAGATCGGGTTTATTGTGCGCGGACGGTGAGCGTTACGGCACTGTTGCTGGGTCACCTTCAAAGTAGCGGCCCTGGCTTTCTACACGCATCTAGGTTCTACACGCATCTAGGTTCTACACGCATCTAGGTGATTTAGGTGTTTCTATCGACGAGGACCTCAAATTTTCCTCGCACGCGCAAGCGACGGTGGCCAAATGCAATAGGATTCTAGGTTACATTCGTCGGTCGGTTGCAAGTAGGACATCTCGCGTTATTCTTCCGTTGTATGCGGCGCTGATAAGACCCCAGTTGGAATATTGCATCCAGTTTTGGAGGCCTACAAATAAGGGCGATCTGTTGGCGCTCGAGGGAGTACAGAGGAGGGCCACAAGAATGA